ACCCACAGGACTGGGACAAGAAATTTTCACTGTTTTTACTGGCTTACCGCAGTGCTGCCCTCGAGACTACCGGCTATTCACCATCACAATTACGATTGGCCAATTTCACATTCACGATTGGCCAGTTTAAATTTTACTCCATAGCTATAGATGAAACCACTGATACAAATGATACTACTCAATTAGTATTATTTATAAGAGGTGTTGATGAGAACTTTGAAATTACGGAGTAACTAGCGTGCATGCGTTCTTTAAAGGAAACTACAACGGGATGTGATATTTTTCGTGAATTTTAGGAAGGCCTTTTAACTTTGAAAGTGCCTGTAACAAATATATGTAATATTAAAACCGATGGAGCACCAAATATGAGAGGAAAAAAAATCTGGATTTCTTTAACTCTTTAATCAAAACTATCATGGGAACAATACTACATTGTGTTGTTTTTCTACATTGTGTTGCACATCAAGATGCTTTGTGTAAATCTGCATTGAATATGAAACCCGTGCTTGATGCAGTCGAGAAGCTTATAAATACTATTCGATCTCGTGGACTTACTCACAGACAATTTCGAGATTTTCTGCAGTCCGTGCAATCTGAATACTCTGATTGTACTGTATTACACGAAAGTAAGTGGTTTAATGCAGGATATGTTTTCGAGCGAGTTTGGCAGCTGAAAGACCACATTGTGTTGTTCTTCCATGAGAAACAGTGTTCTGCGGAGTGCGAAGTGTTAGAAGATACAGAATGGCTTTTGGACTTTGCATTTTCATATATCTTCTTTGTCGTATGAGCAACTTGAATGTCAAGCAACTTGAATGAACTTGAATGCAAGGGAAACTAAATTCATCGACGATATCTGGGCCCATCTCAAAGCTTTTAACTAAATCTTAATCTGTTTGCTGGGCAGCTAGCTGAGAACGACTTGTCTCATTTTCCGAGATTAAATTCAATATCCTCAGTAAATGAAGAGAAGCTTAAGCATTATGAAGATGCCTTGATAAAACTTCATTTCGAGTTCGAACGCAGATTTCAAGATTTCAGTGTCATTCAAACAGAACTGGAAATTTTCACCATGCCTTTCAACGTAAGTTGTGAAGCAGTGAGGTCAGATTTGCAGCTTGAATTAATTGTTGCAATCTAATAATCATCTCAAACAGTTGTTTCTAAATATGCAGAGTTATTGTTTTACAAATCATTATCGAAAGTAAATTTCCCAAATTTAATATCTCACGCCCCGAAAATCAGTGCTATGTTTGCTTCATCTTATATATGTGAACAAATGTTTTCAACTATGGACCTTAGAAAGAATTATTTCAGAAGTAGACTGACAGATGAGCATTTAGCCTCGTTCCTTAAAATCAGTACATCTCACTTTGAACATCAATATAAAGAACTTTTAAAAATGAAATCGCAGTTTCATTCAGCTCATTAACATACATAAATTGTAATACTTGTATATTGTTTTTAAAATTTAGAAGTTATTTTATTAAAAATTATAATTTATCTTGGGCCGCCAAACCTTTTTTTTTTTCGATTTTTGGCCCACGATTGAAAACGTTTGCCCATCCCTGGTATTACAAAAATCTAGTTTGGACAGGATTTACGTAAAATCCGTTCTTAGTGCGTGTCTACATCGTGGAATGTGTAACTATGCAAAATTTCAAGTCAATTGGGTGTCAATTTCAAGTCAATTGGGGGCGCAATTTGACCTAATCGGCGCCATCCATATAAACTCAGATTCTCCGGCGCAGCCTTACACGCAGCAATCAGCCACAGTCGTAGGAATGGTCATAATCAAGTTCATATTTATACGGACTCCGCTCAAACCTTTAAGCACTTTCAAGCATGCATAGCAGGAGCCCTCTGGTTAACAAAATACAGAGAACTCTCCTTAGTATCCCTATACCTTTCCGTCCTGTAGTTTGTTGGGTGCCAGCGCACGTAGGAATACTAGGAAATGAAAGTGCAGACGTTGTGGCTAAAGAAGCTGCCAATAGTGCATCCTCACTTGAATGTCCAACAACACTTCCAACCTCGCTGCTAAAGCATTCCACATGCAAACTTCTTATAAGATAGTGGCAAACCCGCTGGAATGATGCTACTTTGGTAGACGGTTGCACGGATTTTTGGCGATTTACGTTGGCGCAATTGTTGGCGCGGTTTTTACAATCGTCAGCCATCTTGAAAAACGCTGTTTTTACGTAGTTTACGCATAGTAAAGTATTCGAAACTTTAAAAAAAATAAATATCGTTAAAAATAATGGATTAAATTTTTTGTTGAAAATGTCGTATTTTAAGATGGCAGGCAAATGTAAATAAATACATTTACTATGAGTATAAAATACTAAAGTAAGGTTAAATTATTACTTTCATATAGCTAAGAAATAAAAACACCACTATAAAAACATTGCGCCAACGTTTAATTGGATTAAAATATTTCTTAAACTGAATATCGAATTAAAAACATCATACCAACTTTTAAAAGAATTAAAATATTACTTAAATTGCATATCAAATTAAAAACATCATACTAACGTTTAAAATAATTAAAATATTACTTAAATTCAAATCCTTTAAAATAAGTTTTATAGGATATAATTATTTAACATTAAAACATATGTGGCAATAAATATCTCGGACATTTTTGAAAACAGTGTATTAATTTTTTAAATAAAAATTGAAGTATACAGTTATAAAGTAAAAGAAAAATATGTACTTACATTTTTTTTGAGTATTTAACCTGTCGTATATTGATAAGTACCACAAAAAAATCGGAATTATAATTTAGATATCAATGAAAAAAATTTGAAAAATGTAGTATAATTTAAAAAATGTAATCTAAGGGAAAAATTTGAAAAAATTTGTAAAAAAAATTGAAAAATGTAATCTAAGGAATTTGAAGAAATGAATAATAAAATTTTAAAATGGCGCGGTAATGCACAGATATTCAGTAACCAATCATACAGAATATTTGTGCATTACAGCTCGTTAATGCACAAATATTCTGTAACCAATCATAGAGCTTATTACATCACGAATAGAATTAAAATTATTTAAATAATAATACATATAAAATCGTTTTTTAAAAAATGCAAAATTAAATTGTATTTTAATATTTAACAACCATAAATAATGTTTAAAACATTAGATTAAATTTAAAGATATTAAAACCAATTACTTTTAAAGTAATGTGACGTCATTCATTACATCATCCACAACATAAAATTCCATAAAATATCATAAACAATAAAATTTTTATTTTAAATAAAAATGCAAACTTAAATTGATTTTTAATATTTAGATAAATAAAAAATAACTAATATTTAAAACACGAATTTATGTATAATAAAACGCATTATTTTTTAAATAAAATTATAACAAAGTATTGGTTACCATAAATAAGTTGTCTAGCAATGGGTTTACCATAAGTCGTTCGCCAAAAAACAAATCACCAAAATCCGTGCAACCGTCTACCAAAGTAGCATCGACGTACACATGCTATGCTCATAAGTGTAAGCATGGATCTGCAGAGCAAAACTAGCAGCATGTTACATTTCCTAACTGGACATGGACCGTACAAAGCCTATCTGCATAGATTTGGTCTATCCAACACAGACATCTGCGACTGTGCGAAAGTGGGCAGTACAGACCACTATTACTTTGAATGCCGCTTGACGACGAAGTTCCATCTAAAAATACCAGCACCCATGTTTCGCGCAGCGTGGTGGAATAATATTCAAAATAACAATGTCGCTCTATCGAAACTAAATACATGCTATCACTACCTACTGCGCTGCAAAAACGCAGTAATCTGGAACAGCTCTCATCGCTGTCATTCCCCAAATAACTAAATTACTGTTTCAGCTCCTCTAATATAAGTATTTAATTTTTTTATATATTTTTATTTATCTTTTTTATATATAGTCATTTAACTCTTTTGTTATAAAAATCTTTGTTCCATCAAATCAACTTCTTGACATATACAAATATTTGTACTCATACGGTATAATACATTGTTACATACAGTTATCTAATTTTCGTAATATAAGTGTTCATTCCAATGTAGTAAATATGCCAATCTAACACAAGAAATACCGATAACAATGTTGCATAATGCCATTTATATATTTCTGCAGTGTAAAAATCTTTCGTCCACATTGATTGTCATCACTTAAATGTAGCACATTTGATTTATTTATACACCAAAATGTATTACTCATTTAATGCACTGCCAAATGCATATATGTGTATACATAGAATATAATTTCACTTATATATAGTATTGATTTATGTTATGAGAGTGTTCATATGTAATACTGTGCTATTCAAAATATCTTGTAACAAAAGAAAATAATATGTACTGAACAACAGACCTTGTATGCCCATGTAAATGATTTCCGCAGAAATGACGTTCAATTCCGTACCGCACGGACTAGGACGGATGTCATCTTCGCGGTGTATAGTCAATTGGGTGTATAGTTTAGGAGATCTTGTGACCAGTCAATGGTATTTCCCTATATATATATATATATATATATATATTAGGTATGCTTTCCTGTTAGTAATTTTACTACCACAGAAGGATATTAACTCTGCATAATTATATCTCTTGATTATTTTATTATTATCGCAGCATTTAGTGCGATATTCATAATGATTATTAATTAATTTTTTCGAATTTTTAATCTGTAAAATATTTATAAATATATAAACGGTTTGAATCATTAATGGTAAGCTCTGTGAGTTGGAAGACTGCAAACGAGGATCTTCATATTGCAAATTTGTATTTTTTTAGAATTTAAAATTTTTAATTGTATATTTTTTCGAGGTATCAGATTGTAAATTTAGCGTTTATAATTTTTATTTGATTAAATTTTTTTTACGTTTTCAAAATCCTTGAAATCATAAAAAATATCGCACTGAAAGAAAATCGAAATTTATTTTGACAAATCTCTCTACGCAATTTTTTTTATTGCTTATTAAAGACCTCTCTTTCGCAGATACCTGTTGTAGCGGATCTTCCCGGCGTGGGTCGCAATCTTCGAGATCATCTCAATGTGCCCCTTTACTTCCATATTGACTCTCCCATCACCACCACCTCTACCAAAATGAGATCGCTCCGTGAAGTGTGGAAATATTTTTCTAAAGGAAAAGGTAATAACTCTTTCATTTTTCGTTTGGAAGTTATTAAGACACACCCCATACAATTGATGCTTTATTAAAAACATTCAGTTTAGCTAAAGCTCTATCAGTTTAACTTTCAACTGCTGAAAGAGATAACATCTCAAAAGGGGTTTTGTCGCCACAAATGAGATCAGAAACTGTTATTATTAATTACTCTTAGCTGAACGAACCTTCATTTATCTCCCGTATCATAAAAGGGCATTGGTTCACCCATACAACAAAGTAAATAACTTTATTCGTATTTCTTTAAAACATTTCATAGCAAGTTTTTTTTTTTTTTTTTTTTTTTTTTTTTTTTTTTTTTTTTAACACTGTAATAAATGATTTAAATATTGTGCTTTTCTAACACGAAAATCTATAGTCTTATCATCTTCTTTTCGTTCAAATCGTAATACACATTTTTAATATCTGGTTGTAACGAAAGTTTTCCGCCAAAAAACGTTCTAAATAAAGTTAGGGGAAAAAAAAAGAACCTGAAACCAGTACCTTTAGTGCGGATAGTAATCACCATCCAAACTTACGATTTTCTGTCAACGTTTTGGTAGTTTTTCAACCTCCTGGAAACTAGGTGGCTGCGAGTCCAAAAGGAGATCAACCTCATTTCGGACGTCCTGTGCAAAATGGGAGATAACACCTGCAAGATGTAGCTGAAAGTGGGAAAACATTTGAAATCGAAGGTGCAATGTCGGGGCTATATGGTGGGTGTGGCAAAAGATCCCATTCGAGTCCGTACAGAATCCAGCCGGTGAATGTAGACACGTGTGGTCTTGCATTATCTTGATGGAGCATTACCTTTTTGTGTCGGAATTCAGTTTGACGTTTTTCCTTGATAGCAGTGTCAACATGGACTAGCATCTCGCTGTACACCTTACTGTCGAGTGTTTTACCATTTTTCCAATACTTTTTGTGGATAATACCTTGGCAATTCCACCATATATACAAAGCATGATCTTTTTGCTAGTGAAATTGCGCTTTGCAACTCTGCCGACGGGCTCACCGGGTGCAGACCAACCTCCCTTTCTGGCCTTTGTTGTTGAAGTAAATCCACTTATCATCACAAATGACGATCCGGTTCAGAGTTTTGTTGATATTCGGGCAGATTAGGGCAGACCCGAACAAGTCTTGCACAAGTTCTCGCAAGCGGGCCTCATCAACATCAGTAGGCCAGCCTGAGCGCTCTGCTTCTTCAATGTCATAATCCTTGTTCTTGAACTTTCGGTACCAAACTTTCACAGTGTCGTATGGTACAACATCAGTACATACAGTTATAGACATAATTTGGTGACATTCTGTAGCTGACTTTTTGCAACAGAACTGGAAGTAAATGATGGGTCTAATCTGGTAGCGTTATAGTTCCATTTCAGACACCTTGTACTAAACGATATTTTATTCAGATTTCACAACACATTGTTCTACAGCAAGTATCTTTCTTTCAAATGCCAAAAATCGTTTGACAAAATATTGTTACTTTTTTTTTCCTTCCTTCACGTTCGTACGGGGTTCATATATGTGCAGTGAATAACAACGACACTTATCATCGTCGTTTATCATTTCCTTTAGAAAAGTATCGAAACACATCTTCTTTACCAATATTAATCAGATAGCTCCAAAATCCCTTTTACAGTCGTCGAACTGTTATAAACAGCGTTCAGCGATACAGCCTTCACACTGTCAGGCAATAACGGTGGAGACAGCTTCACCGCAAAGCACCAGAGTACAGCTCCCGACTCTGCTTGGTGACTTCTCCCGACTGCCCGACTCTGCTCGACTTGCTTGGAACTCCACGTACTCTCGAGACTCTCCACGCTACAACTCGCGATGCACTCGACGATACACAAGAGTATAGCTTTCGACTCAGTCTAAGACAAAAATCGATGATGCACTAATTCGCGATACACTAAAAGACACTCGATGCACTTGACGACCAACTCGGCCCTAGACTTTGAGACACTCGCTCAATGACTGACGATCAGCTCGCTAGACGAGGCACACACTAACTAACTACGGACCAGCAGGGTTTATATAGCTTTCGGTTTGTGTTCGAGAACATTCTGGGCTAAACCGGTAAGAATTCGTTCCAAAAGGTTCTCCATCCGTCTATGGTATATCGCCGATTTTTTCGCCAAATAGGTGATTCCTCGCCAAATGTGGCAACCATGCCTTCCTTTGCATTTTATGGCAACCTTAAAACTGCTTTGCGGGGAAGCTATCTTACCACTCTTGGACATTTCGTAAAAATATAACTAAACACGCCAACGCGAACTGTGTCCTCAGACGATATTTGCGGTGGCTGGAAACTTTTGTTAAAATCCGAAAGTTTGATATATTTCTGTTCACATCGCTTCAATGAAAAAATAAGCTATTAATTTATACGTTAGAAAATTTTTATTTAAGAAAATAAATAAAGTACTTGCATAATTTTTAATATACATTTTTTCTTTTTATGACAGTTTTTAATAGTATTTAAAAATTTGTTCTTTCAGTTGTTAGACAGTAATCTAAAACAGCCTTATATGCACTTTCTGTAGAATATAATATATTTTTGAATTTAATGGTAATTTCCTCTTTGAATTATCAAAAGCTTTCTTTTGTTCCCTCCTCCCTTTCATTTTGTGCCTTGGTGAAATAGGAAGTTGTTAATCCATACGATATTAGATCTTTCGTTCATCTTTTTTAAATTAAATATTTTATTCATAGCAACACGGTGATCAAGTTAAAAGAAATACATACTTCTTTATAATATTCTGATACTTTAATATACTAATGCAGAAGGTATTTGTTGCGTATGTGCCACAAATTTTAGTAATTTCTTGATTATTATCAAATAGACTGCTGACATTTTGGAAAGATTAGTAATTTTAATAATAATTACACCTTCAACATAGTTTGAGAGACTTTTCTAAAGCCTTGTAATACGCACTTCATCTACAGATTCATTTTCGAACTTTCTCAAATTCTGTCGTTTACATCAAGAATAGAAGCCTAATGATAATAACAAAAATTTGTAGCAACGTATTGTTGCGAAACGCTCAACTGCTTTACGATAGCTTCCCCGCAAAACGGAAAGTTTCATGTTTGCGAGAAAGGGGTAGGGAAAGACAGGGTTACCGGATTTGGTGCGAAATCGCCCATTTGGCAACAAAATTGGTGATATGCCATACATGGAGCTAGAACATTCTAGAACGCATTCTTAGCGGTTTTCTTCGGGAATGTTCTCGAAAATAGGTTAAAGCTATATATACCCTGCCTGTCCCTGGAAGAAAGTAATATTTTGAGTGTAGTACTACTACACTCAAATACTACTGAAGTATCTTGATTTGAGTACTGTAGCAGTGTCTTGAGTTCAGAGATTAGCTTGAGAGCGATGGACCGAGTCGGGAGCTGTACTTAGTGCGTTGCCGTGAAGCTGTCTTCACCGTTATAGCCTGAAGGCTATGTTGCTGATTGTTTCAGTGTGTTTATCGTAGTTTTTCGACGACTGTAAAAGTGTCTTTGGAACTCTCTTGTATGATACTGGCAAATGAAAAGACTTCTTTATAACGTGTTATCATCAATCCAAATCCGCGAATCCATAGAACGCAATATAGATTCCATTCATCATTCTTTACGTTGTTTACAGTGTTCAACTAAAACAATATTTTTAGAAAGAAATAAGAAGATACAGGCAACTGCTTTCTTTAACAAACAGCGCCTCGTAAAAGTTATAGAACACGTCTGCTTCCTGTAAATAATGCCAAAAATGTTAAGTGTTATATTAATTTATTATTACCTAAATTGCAACAAATAAACAAACAAAGAAATAAAAGCAATAACAAAATATTACAACGATGTACGCAAAAAATAAATTAAATAAAATAATGCAATCGAATGTGCTCAAATATTTACAGAAACTTACAATTAGAAGGTGCAAGGAATAAAATTTCAAATATAACTAACATTTTGTTCATTTAAGTTCCGTTAAACCGAAATATCAAATCAGTTTTGAAAATTATGCAGAGATATTTTTGAGTATACTACTGAGCGAAATCTTTGATAACAGACTGCGTTTTGATTTAAGAGAGAATCCTTTTTAAAATCCCAAACGGTTTTGTACAAAGAGCTTAATGTACGACGCTAGAAACACGTTCTACTAATTGTAATAACACTGAATGGATTTTAAATTATGTCAATTAGATATATACTATTCAGAAGGAATTAAAGAGCTTGTAATAACGCTGCGTGGATTGTAAATTATACCAATTAGATACATACACTGGTGTGCAAAATTTAAGCAACAGGGGTTCTTTTTGGCATAACTCCACGAGAAATCATCTGATAGACATGAAATTCAGAATTAAGAGACAGCATTTTGTATTTAAACGATGACGAAAGCGTAATTGCTCTAAAAATGAATACAAGGCATACAGTATGGAATCAAACAAAAACAGGCTTTATTGAACTCGTAGTATCGTTACACATGATTGTCTGTACATGAGGAAGAACAACAAGCAGGTGTTCCTTAGTATGGGATATGCCCTTCCCTTACTGCAATGGTTGCTTCGAACAGTCTCTCCATACTCAGCACCAGATTGTCCAACAGATCTTGAGGTAAGAGTGCCCATTCCTCAATCAGCATCTGTTTCAGTTGCTGGGGGGTTCCCCGGAGGATGTAATCGTGTCACAAGCGTCTCCCCCAAAGCATCCCACACATGTTCTATGGGGTTTAAATCAAGGGAGCACGCTGGCCAATCCATTCGAGTGATATCTTCACTTTTCAGTCCTTCTGAACAGCAAGAGTCCGGTGTGACCGTGCATTATCATCCATAAAAACAAAGTCTGCTCCAATGGCACCTCGGAACAGACGCACATGGCGAAGGATCACACGATAGCAATCTCCGGTTTCAGAACTTCTGTCGAAAACGTGGAGCTCCGTCCGCCCGTTCAGCATAATGCCTCTCCAGACGAGATCTTCAAGACACCGTCACGGTTTC